TTTTTTTTTTTTTTTTTTTTTTGATAGTACTGGGCTTTGAACTCAGGCCTTCACACATTGCTAGGCAACACTCTAACTTTTGAGCCATGTCTCCAGTCCAACAAAATTAGGTATTTATTTGACCAAATATATCAGTATTTTCTTATTTTTCCTACCAATTGTGGAGAGGCTTTCTAAAATAACTCCATCACTCTCCTCTATTACTTAGGAATCTAACATATTTACCAGTAGGACAGGGACAAGAGATCCCCCTAAACTTTCCACTACTTATTCAAGAACATTAATGGGGTGTGGTGGCTCAAGCCTATAATCCTAGCTACTTGGGAGGTGGAGATCTGGAGGATCACAGTTCAAGGCCAGCCCAGGCAAAGTGTTCATGAGATTCCCCCCTCCCCATATCAACCAATGACTAGCATGGTGGTACATGCCTGTCATCCCAGCTGAGCAGTGAAGCACAAATAGGATCATGGTCCAGGCCAGCCCGGGAATAAAGCAAGACCCTATCTCTAAAATAACCAACACAAAAAGGGCTAGTGGAGTGGCTCAAGTGGTAGAGTGCCTGCCTAGCAAGCATGAGGCCCTGAGTTCAAACCTTAGTACCACCAAAAAAAGAAAAAAGAATCTTAACAAGAGCCTACAGTTTGTCCCCGGCAGGTGCTGTAGGGGCATCAGAAAACAAAGCATACATGCACACATCTGGGGAAGTGGAAGAGAGAAAGTTAAAAAACAAGAATGTCTCCCAAAGACCCCTGTGTGGTTCCCTAGCTTGGCAAGGTGGTGCTAACTTTAAGAGGCAGGGCCTGGGGAAGGAGTTTATCTCACTGGGAGAATGCTCTTGAAGGGGATTGTAGGACCCTACTCTCTTCCTTTCTTTCTCTTTCACTGTGAGGACCATGACTTTGCACTCTCCCCCATGACGTGCTGCCTTGCCACAGACCCAAAGCAATGGGGCCAACCAGTTATGACCAGAACCTCTAAACTGTGAGCCAAATAAACCTCTTCTCTTTATAACAGTAACAGAAAACTGACATACAGAAACACAAAAAGTTATATATTCTGTTATAATATATTGGTTCTGTGGGGAAGGAAAGAACATACGGGGTAAGTTAGCAATGTAGAGAATGCTAGTGAGGGTTTGGGAAATGGTGCTCAGGGAGGGCCTCATCAAGAAAACATGACTTGGGTAGACTAGAAGGTGGCTGACTTGGCCATGTGGGTAACTGGTGTGTATTAGTTATCTATGCTACATAATAAATTATCTGTTTCTATGCCAAGTGTTTAGGTGGTGCTTGGCTTCTGCAAGGTGTCCCCCAGGCTGCACTCTCCTCTGGAGGCTTGGCTATGGAAGGAGACAAACTCGCTTAGCCTGTTGGCAGAATTGACTTCCTTGAAGTTACAGGATGTGTGGCAGCTTGCTTTTTCAAAATCAGGATGTGAGAGACACTTTAGAGTGAGTCTGCTAGCCAGATGGGTCTTACTATATCCAAGGCAATCACAGGAGTGACATTCAACCATGTCTGCCATATTCTCTTGTTTAGAAGCAAGTAACAGATAGTTATATAAGAATGTGACCATCAGTAGATGGAGGTCATAGATCTCCCTTAAACTCTGTCCACCATATTGGGTGTTGAATTCAGTGTTCAGAAGAGGTCCTGGCAGGAAAGGTACATTTTAGGATTGTTTACATATAGATGGCCCTCAAAGCAACAGACACCACTGAGAACATGGGTAGACAGGTGTACACAGACGGAGCCCTGATGAATCCGTGATGTCAAGGGGGAGAGTGGAAATGGAGAAGGAAAATGTGGTCTTTGAGATGAGAGAATATGGTGTCTGAGTGAGTGAAGAACAGTTCTAAGACAAATAAGATGAGAGCCAAGAATTGACCACCAACATGGAGATGGTTGACCTCTTTTTCTTTCTTTTGTGGTACTGGGGTTTAAACTCAGGGCCTTGCCCTTGCGAGGCAGGAGCTCTACCACTTGAGCCGCACCCCTATTCCTTTTTGTTTTAGTTGTTTTTTGGATAGGTTCTTGCATCTTCCCTTGGGGCTGGCCTGGACTGTGTTCCCCTTATTTATGCTTCCCATGTAGCTGGGATGATAGACATATACCACCATGCTCCATTTCACTCTTTTTGCACAGGCTGGCTTTGAACCTCAGTCCTTCCGATCTCTGCCTCCTGAGTAGCTAGGATTACAGGTGTGAGCCACTGTGACTAGCTTAATGGTTGACCTCTTAACAGGAGTTTTCAGTGGAATGGTTGGGGCAAAGGTCTGGCTGTACTGGTGTCAAGTCCACCTGTAACTGGAGTCCTAGGCCAGAGGCCCAATTCCGTAGGTTCCAACATGTCAGGTCTGGCCACTTGCCCCAATATGTCAACTAAAGAGATGAGTAGGGAAGGGCAGAGAAAGACTTATTATGTACTGTCTGCACACAGGAAGGAGAGTAAGCATGTCAGCCATCAACACACACATGTGAGAACTACAATGACCTCTCCAAACTCAAAGAATGGAGTCAGAGACACCTGGAGTACAGTGAAAGTGAGACTTTAATGGCAGTCTTGCCTGCAGGAAGCAGTTACAACAAGCATTATATTGCCTAGTGTGCAAGTCCCTCCCGGGTTCCTCTTTGGCTGAGTACTCTGGGGTGTACACTGTTCCTGTAGATCGCCTTTTCTATTGGGTTATTTTAAAATGTCTCTTTTGGGATTGGTTAAATTCTGGAAGCAGGCTTAAATTGGTATCTTTTGTTGTTGTTTGTGGAAGGTTTCTCTGTGATATGTGCTTTCTGGCACATACGTAGTTTTTACCCATTTTCTCCTTTTATCGTGATTTGCCCTTCCCAGTTTAGGTTCCCTTATCAGTTGGCTCTTCCTCAACATCCTTCAGCTGATACACAAGCAGGCAGCAGGGTTAAACGCCTTGCTCTGAAAATGGACCACCACTGATTTTATTTCTAACACATGTAAGCCGTAGGTTTAAACGGAGGGAGCACTGGGCAAGGTGGTAGAGCTATGCAGAGTTAAGCCATCCTAGTCAAAAGTGTGGTCTGGTTGCTCACCGTCTCAGGACTGGTCAGGTGGGACCTTGTCACAATAAGAAAGTCATTGTTGCCCGGGGGGCGGGGAAGGTAGTTTCTACACTTGCCACAGGATGTTTATCCTAAGTTCTGTCGCTTGGGAATCCAAGGTGATGGCAGAACACAGTGACTCAGAGTTAAGGAGACAGATGGAGAGCAGGGCATTGCAGGTCCAAGTGAAGCCGTTTCTAAGCCCTGCGGTACCAGGGCAGTATAGTTGTGAAGAAGGGTGGGCATGGGCAGGGGGCTCTCGGTGCCTTCCAGCTTTCCATTCATTTAGGCAAACCCAGGCTTTAAGGAAGTACTCCGACATAGTCTCTACTCTTTGGAGGCTGGGCCACGCGCATAGTCTGGGCTGTAGGTGTCCAGGCTTGGTCATGCGCAAAGGCTACCATCTTGGGCATGCGCAGGCAGTCAGACTGGGAGCCTTTTCGCGGGACCACCAGGCTCGAGGAGAGGGCGACTGCGCAGGCGCCCACTGAGACCGCCCCGCGCTCAAGCCTGGAGTGCGCACGCGCAAAGGGGCCGCCCGTGGAGGGGCGGGGCGACGCCTGCGCATTGGACGTGCCGGGGGCGGGGCGGGGCGTCTGTCAGCTGACTGAGGCGGTGGCGGCCTCGCGGGAACAACCGTCGGAGACGTAGGCTCCTGTGGCGGCGGAAGAGCTTGCCTGGCGCGTCGCTGAGGGGTCGGCGAGGCCCAGGGGCGGCTGCAGCACCATGGCGACCACCGTCAGCACGCAGCGAGGGCCGGTGAGGCCCCCGGGCGAGGCCGGGCGGGAGCGGCGGGCAGCGGCGGCGGGCGGGGCCTCGAGCCGGAGGTCTTCCCTCCGCCGCGCGGGCGGCCACTTCGGCCCCTTGGCCCTCCCCGGGTTGCGCCGGCCCGTCGGTCCGAGCGGGAGCCTCGGGGTGGGGCGGGCCCGACGGACGCGCGTGGTGCGGGGGAGGCCGGAGCTCCTGCCCTCAGGTCCCAGGCAGAGACGGTTCCCAGCCTGGGTGGGCCCGGGTCGAGGGGGATCCCAGTTCTGATGGCTCTCGGGTGGAGGGGGACCCCGGTCCTGATGGTGCCCGGGAGAGAGAGGGACCCCAGTCCTGATGGTGCCCGGATGGAGGGGAACTCCAGCCTTTATGGTCCTCAAGGTGGAGGGGCACCCCAGTCCTGAATTCGAATGATGGTGAGGTTCCCGGGTGGAGAGGGACCCCAGTCGTGATGGTTCCGGATGGAGGGGGACCCCAGTCCTGATGGTGCCCAGGTGGAGTCCTTTGCCAGATTCCCCTGGTGGAAGAGAGCTAGAATGGTCCCCCGAGGAGCAGGACCAGGCCCAGATGAACCCCCAGGTGGGGAAGGAGGCCAGAGTCTGTATAGTCTGCTGGTGAAGGGCCCTGACCTCCAGTGATCCCCAAATAGAGAAGGGCCCCATGCTGCAGTCAGTTCCCCAGATGAGGTGGCTTGCTTTCTTCCCTCTGCACAGCCCGAGCCATTAGTGGTCACCTTTCAAAGCCTCTTCATTTGCAAATGACAGGTGGGAGTAGAGAACTTGGAAGCCCCTTCCAACTCATTTCTCTTAAGAAGGTTGTCTTGGGTTTCCATGGTGATCGTGCCTTCTGTGGACTTCTGTATGAATGGCCTCCCAGCAGCTTGCTGAGACTGGGTGGAGGCAGGCTGTTGGGAGCAGGGGTGAACAGGGTCCTCCTGACAGTACTTAGCATCCATTCCCTGACGTGGTTACAGGCCTCTCTCATAGCTGGGTGTTGACAGGCTTTCTTGTCTTTCTCCCTGTGAGAGAAGGCTCCTTGGCATAGAAAACTTTTTCTGAGTTTGAAGCAAAGCTACAGGCTTGGGTGGAAGCTTCTCAAGGTGCTTTTCCTAAGGCTTCAAAAGCGAACCTCCTGACACACTTGTTACACTTGGTGTGGCACTTTCCAAAGTCACGGTCACCTCCATTGTTCAGCGTTTCCCTGGCCATCTTCACTCCATCCCAGAGAATTAAGAAGATTGGTTGTGCAGCCAGAGAAGGAAGGAAGCTGGTATTTTCTCTTATCCTCCACAGAGCAGTGAGCACATGGCCAGGCAGAATGACCCCTTCCTGGCTATGTGGTCTGGGAATATCCTTATTTCCTAGGAACTTAGCCCCCTCATCTGGAACCTCATTGTGGTGTCAGATTAAGTTTGAATTCAAATGATGGTGAGTTCAGTGTCTGGCATGAATTGAGTAATCTGCAAAGGTTAGCCTTTCCTGTTGCTAAGGGAAACCATCTGTAGTGCTGAAGCTAAGCCGAGCTGGAATAACCTATGGTACCTGTGATGAGTAATTGGGAGCATCAGGCAGTGTTCAAACTTGTAGGATCTGAGGTGTCAAGTCCTGCTGTTTGGTCTGACTTTCTGCTTGTCCAGTTTTCTAGGGATCACATGGTCACATATCTATGTCACAGGCAGACAGAGCAAGTATTTTAGGAATACCCTCTCTGGCCTATAAACATGTAGTCACCTTGGGTCTGTGCTCTAAGAAAGTGTCATAAGTGACTGGATTTCAAGTCCTGCTTGGGGTATGTGTGATTTATCCATTTAGCAGTGTGAGTGAGCATGATATTTAGGGCAGCTGTGACACATGGGGACAGAGGACTTCACATGGTAACTCAGATAAGGTTGGCACTGACAGTAACCTTCATATCTGTGGTCTTAATTCAAGAGTTAGGTGTTGTGAGAATTTGTTAACCAGGTTGGGTAAGTCTCTTTGAGGCAGTACATCCAACCTGAGACTTGAAGGGGAACCACTGAAAGCAGATGATCAGGAGAGAGAAGGGAGGTGACTGCTTAGGCCACAGGCAGTGTCTCTTACAGACTGGAGGGCTTGGGGCTGCACACTGAGGCTGCATCTGGCTCTTGAGCTTTATCTGACCAGTACACAGTTTTTTGATGTTTTAATGGAGCACACATCCTGTTCAGTTTCCACCCTTTCCACGGGCTGCTTCATCCAGTGTGACCTGCCCTTAACCCTCTGAATTCACTAAAACTTGCAAAGACTTTTTGGCCAATTGTTTAGGCTCTAGTAGAACTCTTGCCAGGTTGTGATGATAAGTATTGTAGCCCTACCTTTTCTATTTCATTCATAGGGCTGTGGAGTTTGAAGATAAACAGACCACTGGGCTTCCAAACAGAATGATATGAGTGATTGAATTTGGTCAGCACTGGGCCCCATAGGCAGCCTCCTGTGTGTAGCCCCTGGCAGGCATTGTGTCAGCACAGGGTCTCCAGCTCAGGAGCCTGGACTCATGCTTGAGCACCACTCATGCCTGCCATGAGTGGTGACAGAATGACAGAGTCCTGCAGGCTTTCATAGGCAGAGAGTATTCTGACCTGGGCTGGGATGGCTCTGTTCTTGGCTGGGGGGTTTTAGGGAACAGGAGGGTAGTTGTGGAGAGGAGACGTGTGGCCAGCAGGCACATAGTTCTGAAGGAATGCATCTTTGCTTCCCATCAGCAGAGTGAGTGCAGATCCTGCTTCCGGGGAATGTAGTGTTTACAGCCTCATAAAGTTTTTTCCTGAATAGCCACCAAGGGATCCCATCCCTATGCTGTATCCGTCTCACTTCTGAAATATGCTGGTCTTTTGGAATTACCACACTTCTTCTACCCAGTCCACAGATTATTAAAAAGCACCTGATGAGATCCTACAGCAAGTCACTGAGAGCCCTGCATCTCTGTGAGGACATACGCAGAAGACTCAGCTGTAAGCCTTGCTGGTCCTGGGGCTAGAGGCTACGTTAGGGTTAGGGGCAGCATTTCTGGCTGACCTTCTTCATAGATGTGTGTCTTGTGGAGTCTGGCAGGTGTTGCTGCCTCATCCTGCCTTTGGAGACTCTGGTTGGCCAGGTACCACCAGCACAGTCTTTGCCCCTTATGATCCCTTGGATGGTCCTTGGTACCTGTGCCTATCAGGGGCTTCATCAGTCTTGTACCTCATTGGTGATTGTTGCTGAGCCAGTGGCTTCATTAGGAAAGGCAAAAGGTAATTTTTGAATTTGATCATTTGTTCTACATTTGTTAACTGGGACTGTTGTTAAAGATAAGCTTTCCCCATCAACAGAGCTATCTTGTCCTGACACACAGTTTATAAAGGTGAGGCAGGATACATGTCCCTTACTTTCCAATAAGATAATGGAGTTGGTTTTCTGTTGGGGATGGTGATGGATTTCTCCTTTTTGAGTGTCTCACGATTTTCAAACCTTCCAAGTCAGTCAGCAGTCTCCCATACCTGTTTGTGCTTAGGGTGAGTCCTGAGCAAGGGGATATGTTTACCACCTGACCAGCAGGCCCATGTCCCTGTGTCTCTGTGAACATCTGTGAATTCTGAGGCCAAGTTACTCATGTACACGGGTAACATTGCAGCATCTTCCTGTGAATTAGACTGTGGCCACCAAACGGTGACCTCACAAACCTCTCACTTTTACTTTATCTGATACTGGCTTGACTACTCTGTCTTCCTTTTAGAGAATTTTTGTCTGATAGCTGTTTTTCGTTCTTTACATTTTACTCAGTTTATGTTTCAAGATAAATGCTGCATTCTTAAAGAGTCAAAACTAAGAAGTCCTAGTCTTTGACTTTTTACTGGAACATATTAGTTTAGTTAGCACTTTTGTGCTTTGCCCTACTTGTTTCTTTTTCTCTCCTTTTGGGTTTATTAAAAATAAATTTCAAAAAATTGAGTAGTAAATTCTCTACTGGCTTGGGAAATGTATAGTGCGTTTCTGTTCTGTAGGGTTCCCCTCGGAATTTTAGTATGCAGAGTTAGGAGGATGTGAAGCTGATCGTGCTTGTCTCCCAGTCGGTGCAAAGACCATTATCTTACCTTGGCTGTCTTCTCCCTGGTGCTCCTGTGTCCACTGATGGTTCCTACTTTCCTTTGAATCCTCCTAGAAGGAGTAACATTATTTTGTGCAGGTGCTGCTTGAGATTTGCTCAGATACAAATTGCTTTCTTTTCCCAGTCATCCTGTATCTCAGACCTCCATCAGGATCCCTTTGCCTTTGCTTCAAGTTCTTCTTCTGGAATCTTGGTGGCAGATGCTCAGTTTGTCATTGCAAATCCCTTACTCTAGTTTCTGAGGGCTGTCTGCTGTGTGTGGAGTTGTGGTTGGCAGTTGCTTCTTGGTCCATTGAAGATCTGCCCTGCCATCTTCTGCCTTCAGAACTCTCTTCTGGCCTGTCTTCTGAGTCACTACTTTTCTTTTACCTGTTGAGTTTTTAGTGTAAATTATTTGAGACTTTAAGTGCAGTGACAGCTCTTTAACTTTGGGCCAGTCAGCATTATCAGAACTATTCTCAGATAGCTTGTTCTCATCTGAGTTCATGTGTGGGAAGTGTTTGCCTCAGGCGTGGCCCATGGACAGTACTGTGAACTGGTGAGCTGCTAGGTCCCTATGAGTTATTTTTCATTTCTTAGAAACCTTGGCTGTCCTGTGGCCAGGTCTCTATACGAGTTTCTGTTTTGACACCACCTGGGCAGGGGAACTGAGTGTAAGTTAGATGTGTGGGTGCTGGGAACCCCTAGAGGCAGGGAGGGGATGGTGGTGGAGATGGTGGAGAGGAATAGCAGCAGCTTGTCATGTGTTTAGAGATCCCCATGAGCTCTAACCCTGGAAGGCTTCCCCAGGGCAGCCTGAAAGCCTTGGTACCAGGGCAGCATACCCTGGCTCTGCTCAGCTAACACAGACATTACAAACACTGTGTGCTTCTCCTTTGCCCAGTTCTCCGTCACTTCCTTGTGGGGGTGTCCCAGGTGCCACACCTTAACATGCCTCGATTGACTGTCTTTCCTGAGCTCTAGATAGGTTTTTAGCTCAGGCTAAAAACCTTCTGATGACCTTGTCCACCTGTTAGGAAGTCCTGCAGGCTCTGCCTTCTATGCGCATCCAAGATTGGAGCATTGAAACTTCCTTGCTGTTTCCACCGATTGGCTTGCCCCGACTCTTACCTGTGGTCACGTGCCAAGCAGAGCCTTGCCTGCCTGACCGTCTCCTGGGTCAGGGTGTTAGGCATCTCTTTGTGTCATGTTAGGGTCGCAGGAATCTGTCCTTCCTTTTTAGGGCTGGGTGGGTTTGTGTCGTGTGGATGCTCCTGGCTGGGGAAGCCAGGTACTGCTTGGCAGCTGTTCCTTTTCCCAGGCAGTGAAGCCTCCAGCATACCTGTGCTTGCACGGCTGTGGGTGTTTCCATGGACTGGTGCCTGTAAGTAAATTGTTAGGTCTTAATCCAGAGGTTTGCAGTCATTTGTTATTATTGGACTCATAGGTTCAACTTATACCTTTAATAGGCAAAACTATAGAAAGATCAAGATCAGTCATTTTGTTTTTACATTTCCCAATCTTTGATCTAGGACAAAGCATGGCCAAAAGTTTCCTTCTTTATAATATGGCAGAAAAATATATCTTAACATTAGAACTGAATTCTTAGAATACTTATTTGCTGGTGATGTTTTCTAGTACTATCACTGATATGGTAGGATTCGTGTCCTTGTCTGGATTCACCTGTAGCTTGTGAAGCATTGTCTTATTTTGTTAACAGTGGGGATTTGAGGTGTAGAAATGTGTCCTCATTAGGACAAATTGAAGCTAAGTTGAGAAATCCTCTGGGACTTGCAGCAGCAGGCAAACTTGTCTTTCTCCTCCTGTGGACACTGCGTTGGTTGTGTAACCAGTTTGTGGTTTGGTTTGGGCTGAGTTCCCTCCTCTCCTTTTGCTTAAGGTGAAATTTTTTCTAAAAACTTTTGATTTGGGGATAGTTTTATATTTAAGGAAAAACTATAGGAATGCTTTTTTCCCTGTATCATTCATCTAGTCCCCCTAATGTCTTTGTCCCCATCTCCCTGGACAGTCATCACAGCCACAAAGCTGGCTTTGAGCCATAAAGGCCTTTTAGCTCCAGATTGTGCTGTTTCCAACTACTGATGTGGGGCCTTTCCCCACACCCTGCCTTACATTTGACTGTCCTGCCTCCTCCAAACTGCAGTCACGTCTTAGACTTCCCTTGTTTTTTGGGACTATGACAGTTGGCTGGTCGGTATTTTGTAGCATATCCTTAGCCTGCATGATGGGCCTGTTACCTGCCAAGGTAGTGTGGACTGGCTTTCTCCACCATGTGGTTCTTTTCTTCCCCTTTGTTTAGTTGCACTATTTAACTAATGTTAATATCCTCCTTTCCTATTTGAAATTTTATGGTTAAATCCTTGTTGAAAAAATAACATATTTGACCTTTTGATGTAATTTTTCCGCCATTAAAAAAGCAGTCCCATTCTCTGTAATGACAATCTGGAGAATATAATAAAACAAGAATTCTGATGCCTAGAAGTTCCATTTACAAGGAGACAGATGAGAAATTAATGGAAGAAAAAGCAGCCATAGCTTCCTCCACATAGCCTTTCCTGATCACATCTGCAGCAGGTCCCATGACCACTCACACCCTGTCACTGGGACACCTGGCCTGTCCTCTCCTGGTCTGTCCCAGGAGATGCTTGTATTCTCTACAGCACCCCCAGAGCTGTAGTACATTGCATGTGGTTGGCAATTGTTTCTCAGATGTGTGAGAATTTGGCCTGTGTGTGAATCCCAAGACCTTGGTTGACATGTATCTGTTTCTGCATAGTAATCCATTCATGCTGAGACAAAGCAGATGATGGAGGCTGGAGGCACATGAGCACCTCAGATGCATGCAGGTGTGGGTCTAAGTGTCCCCTTTGGGAGGGACCCCAGAGTTTCCCATATGCCACAAAAGCCAGTGTGTGACATCTTGCGCCCAACCATTTCTCAAGGCTCTCCCCAGATTGTCCTGGGGAGGCTGCAGGACCTCTGGGGAGCTGTGGCACTCCTGGCAACTGCAGCCTTACAGGTGGGGCCCCTTTCCAGGGAGCTTCTGTAAATGAGGGCTGGGGTCCCTCCTGTGTGCAGCCCCAGAAGTGTGGAGAGGCAAGCATCTGTCCTCCCATGGGAACAGCTCTTGGGGAGGGAGAGATCATGCATAGACATGACCCTGTTGGAATAGTGAGGTGTGCTTTGCGTGTTAGAGGAGAGCAGTGGAAATGCCAGGACGGCCATTGAGGTAGCCCATAGAGGGTTCCTGGCTCTGCCCTCCTGTTAGTTCTGGAGCTGACTGGCAGCAGGTGGGGAGACAGTGAGGCGCCAGACCCCCACATGGACCTTAGAGAGTAATACCCAGAGCCCTTGGGGAGAGGTGCCTCCAAGGCATCTCTAGAGCTGGACAACCTGCCACACCTGGAAGGTTCCAGCAGAATCCTAGGCGGGATGAGTGTCTGGTATGTGCAGTGGAGGCAGTCAGGGATCACAGCACCTGGGCACTCTGCATACGGCTTTTAGTGAAGGTATCTTGCTGCAGCTTGTATCTGTGACACATGAGGTGCGTGTGCTGGCAGGAGGGACCACCCCAGGCAGCACTAGGTGGCTGGTGGCTTGACCTCACTATGGGGCTTAAATTTCTCCCTCTCATGGGTTTTTCAGCCTGGTGCGCTTTGTCTTAAACGTGACCCTCAGATGCTGGACTTACCTTATGGGAGCCAGCCTCACTCAAGTTGTGGCAGGTGCTCACTCTCAGGCAGCCTTGATTGACTTGGGTCCTTGGTCTGCCTGCCCCAGATAGGTCTGCTGTTTCCAGTAGGTACTTCCTTGCTGTGGAGCCATTGGGTGCTGTGTTTCAGGACATATCTGTGGAGTCTCACTCCCTGGTGGGTCCCTGGTGGGCCCCTGGTGGGCCTTTGCTCATCTGGGGTGTGAACCTTGGCCAGGGCTACCTCTAGGAGTCTTGGGGTAACCCTTGGTTTGGTGTCCTGATTTTCTTGTAAAGCTGTTTTCTCAGAGCCCTTCAAGTCTCCTAGAATTCCTGCCCAGGGTGTGTCTCTGAGGACTGTGTCTCCCTCAAGCCCTAGGTCTGGGCTTTTAGTTCCTTAGTCTCCCCCACCTCCATCAAGGTTTGTCATGATGGGCTTTGTAATCAATTTGCTTCTTGTTTTCCTTCTGGGACTTTCTTGAATTTGAATTTGAATTGTTTTAAGTGGAAATATCACAAGGTTTTCCAAATGACTTTAGATTCAAGGTTCCACTCTCATCTCATTTCTTTGGCTCAGTGACATGCATTTCCCAGGCCTTGCTTTGAGTTGTGGTCCAAGGAAAAATGGATCATGGACACCCATGGAGCATGCAAGACCAAGAAAAACCATCTAGCTAACCTTTTTGTGTGGACAAGAATCCAGTTTTAGTGACTGAAACATGTTCTTAGCCTTCCAAGGACTCAGGTTTGCCTTTGAGTACCTTAAGTAAAAAGCACCCAATGGGGATGGAGGCTCTAGCGAGGGGTTGGCTTAAAACCAATGGATCCTGGCCCTTGTTTGTAGATGGAGAAGCTGAGGCTGAGCACAGTCTGGGACCTGGTGAAGAAATGGGGGAGATGCATGTATGTGACTGGGCTGAGCCCTGGTAGACCCTTGTTCAGGCATGCAGGGTAGTGCTGCAGGGCTCCTTGGTTCTGCGCTCTGACTCTGGTCTCTGATGCCCATTCTGTCTTCATTCCTCACCCAAAGGTGTACATTGGCGAACTCCCACAGGACTTCCTCCGCATCACACCCACACAGCAACAACAACAGATCCAGCTGGATGCCCAGGCTGCACAGCAGCTGCAGTATGGAGGGGCAGTGGGCACCGTGGGCCGCCTCAGCATTACTGTTGTGCAGGTGGGCGTCGGGCTCCCCTCTTGACAGGGCCTGGCATGGGTGGGGGAGGAAAGGAGGTAGGCTACATTTCGGCAGGGGAGTGTGGATTTTGGCTTTTATATCACATTCCCCATGTGGACAAGTAATTCTAGTTTTGCCTAAAAAAGTGTGAAAAATTGATTTCCCAGGGATCTGCCTAAAATAATTACAATGGATATTGGTGGATATCTGCCTCATGCTGGGCACTGTTCCTCCACGAAGTTGGTTTCCTTGACCCTCATGGCAGCTAGGGTGCTCACATTGCCCACTGCCACAGCAGCGTGGGCCCTGTGGGTTGTGGTCCAATCTGGCCCTACACAATGCTCTGCAGATAGTGGTTCACACTCAGTGTCACAGCTCCACACTGATGGCCATGCGTACACAGTCACTAAAGGGTTGTCCATGTGAAAGTCAAGAGTACACTGTCAGATTGTTTGTCTCAGTCATACACCATAACGGTGGCTCAGGTACTTCCTCCCAGAGCTATGAGTCCATCAATGACTCTGGAGGCTGTGTCCTGGAACACAGGTGACTGCTGAGTTCAAGTGAATTGTCATTGGCTATAATTCACGATGCAGAAAACACCAGTGAAGGAGGCAGGCACCTTTGGTAAGCATTCACCTTTTCCTTTGATGGTGGATGTCTCATCTTTCCGTATTGGCTTAATTTTAGGCAAAGTTGGCAAAGAATTATGGCATGACTCGTATGGACCCCTACTGCCGCCTTCGCCTGGGCTATGCAGTGTATGAGACACCCACAGCCCACAATGGCGCCAAGAACCCCCGCTGGAACAAAGTCATCCAGTGCACGGTGCCCCCCGGTGTCGACTCGTTCTACCTTGAGATCTTCGATGAGGTGAGGGATGTTTCAGTGTCACAGAGGCCGCACATGGGCTCAGATGGTGCATGGTGTGCCGTAGTCAGTGTACCGTGCCTGACAGTCATCTGAGGCTGCTCTGCTTGCTTACGCCTGACTGTACTCTGGCATATGAGTGACCATGTGAACGGTGCACCTCTCCCCTGGCTTTCAGCTCTGTTGACAATGTCTATTTGCAAACACCACCGGTGACAAATGCTAGGAGTGTGCTGTTGATGGAAAGGTTGAATTTCACACAAGTCAGGCAGGTTCTTGCTGGTCCGAGTTGCAGGCTCACCAGCAGAATGTCCTAGGCTGTATCAGTGGTCAGGCATGCAGCATTTCTGAGGTGCAGTTGGGAAGCTCACATGGTTGCAGGAGGCTAATGTGGGAAGCTCAGTTCTGGGCACCATGTGCTTCCTGAGACTAGAGCCTAGGGACAGTGGGGGTGAGAGCCAGCAAGAATGATGATTAGAGGGAAGCTGGGACATGGGTGGCCCTTGCTTTTATCCCTTGGCCTCTTTATCCCAGTTTACTTCTTCCTATCCCCTCTTCCCTTATTCCTTCTGTAGCCTTTGAAGAGGAGGAACATGGGAAGGAGGTTGTGGCTGTGAGGGGTGGCCTGGGCTCTTGTGTCCTCTGTGCTTGGGACTTGTGGAGGTTGTAGGCTGTAGGGTAGGGCTACAGGACTGAGGAGGAGCAGCGGGCATCCCTGGGTCCTGAGTAGGTTGAGGACAGTAGCCCCAGAGAGTCTCCCTTTCCCTTCCATGGGCCATGCCCCACTCATCCCATGGTGGTGACTAAGCAGAGAGTGCAGAGAGGAAGGGGACCATGGGCTTTGCAGACACCCAGAAGGGTTTGGGGTCTTGGTTTAACTGGGAGCTCCTTGAAGGAGGCTGGGAATGGCTGGGAGTTGCCGAGGCTGTGATGGAGCTGAACAACGGGAAATCTCATCTCTGTAATGAGGTAGGTCATTTGCCTCTTGTCTTCCTCAGCGAGCCTTCTCTATGGATGATCGCATTGCCTGGACCCACATCACCATCCCTGAGTCCCTGAAGCAGGGCCAGGTGGAGGACGAGTGGTACAGCCTTAGTGGGAGGCAGGGCGACGACAAGGAGGGCATGATCAACCTGGTCATGTCCTACACGGTGAGTGGCAGCCCTCCCACCCAATCTTGTCTAGAACTGAGGGCAGGGCCCATCCTGGTGCTGGCCTCCATGGCAGGCACTGACTCTTGTGGAGGCCTCTGCCTTCCCTGCAGACCCTGCCTGTGGGGTTGAGCCAGGTAAGTGCAGTGACCCAACTGCTGGCCAGGGCCTGGGATGCAGGCAGAGTAGCTGACTGGGACTGGTGTGTGGCCTTGGACTCTGTGATCCTGTCCCTGGGGTGTTGAGTGGCCATGCGGTGGCAGGGCATCTTTGGGGTACACCGGTGGATCCCACTTGGGGGTACACTGCCCTTAAGATCATGAACAGAGGCCTGGCAGCAGACCCATTGGGTATATATATATTACCCATTGGGTAATATATTGGGTATATATTGGGTATCCACTTCCCACCCATTCTCATCCTCAGGGCTGTGGCTCCAGGAGCATTGGGGAGGTCATGGGGAAGCAGGGTTGAGATCTGGACTCTCAGGCTCTCACCATCATTTTGTGTTACCCAGGACTTTTTTCTAACATTTTACTGGTGAAAAATGCAAGCCTCTGGGAATGGAGGGGTGTGTGCTGAGCCCTGTGTGCCAACCCAGCTCAGTGATTGCTTCTGCAAGCCCCCCAACCCCCGCCCCGTGAATGTTTGAAAGCAAGTCCTACACATCAGTGTGGTCACTGTAAGGCTCAATGGTCCATTTTTAACAGACATTTCTATAGTGCAGAACCACTATCATATTTAACTAATTCGTGTGCAATTAAAAAAATTCTTTGAACTAAAATTCGGGGCTATTGTGAGAAATTACTGGTGTTGATTGTATTTCTCTCACAAAACACCCTAAAATATGTACTTTAATGTATATTTTAAGTTTTTTTTCTTTTTGCTGGAACTGGGGTTTGGTACTGAAGTTTGTACTTGGCTTCACACTTGAGCCATGCTCTCAGCTCTTTTTGGTTTGTTTTTCAGGTAGGGTCTTACGTTTTTATCAACGCTGGCCTCACACTACAGTCCTCCCTGTGCTTCCTGGTTTATTCGTTTCCTCTGCTAGCCTTGAACTGCAATCCTCCTGATCTCAACTCCTGAGTAGTTGAGATTTGGGGCATGAGCCACATTGCACCTGACCCATATATGTATTTTCTTAAGACCTGTTCTCTAGACCATATTTCTATAGCCATGCTTCTGTAAGTCTGCAACTTCTCTTAGCCCAAGTCTTCCAGGCAAGGGGAAAGGTGTGTTGGGGTGTTGCTATGGGTGGGTACAATGGCTGAGGCC